GAGAGAGAGAGAGAGAGAGAGAGAGAGAGAGAGAGAGAGAGAGAGAGTATGGGTGAAAGCATGACTGAGATGGAGGGAAAGAACGGAGAACGCTAGAATGCAATGGCAAAGAGATGCATGGAACAGGGAGAAATGTTACAGCAGAGCATTGCATCAGCAGCAGCAGCATTTGATATGGCTCATATCTCAGCTGCTTGACAATTCACTATCGCATAAATCGCTTCAGTCAATTTTCTGTCATTTCTCTTGACTTCTCGCTTTCTATGACTTTTTCTCTCGTTTTTTTTTTCTTCTTCCCTCTCTCGCCGTCTCTCTCTCTCTCTCTCTCCTGCACTCTTTTAGTCTTTGCCTTTCTTCTTTTCCCTCTCCCACCGTTGAACCCATTATGGAAAGAGACGGCGAGTCATCGCGCAGTTGCAATATGCACACCGGTCAATGCACGATGTAACGGGCAGCCAGTGCGTTGCATCTTATCGGCAATGGTGCGAGTGAGAGCAGGAGCAAGAAAGCGAAATAGAGTTCGGTGTGCACTTGCGTTTGCATTCAATGAATGCGGTTTATGCGAATCGCTTAATTTGAATGAAAATCCACATTTGATTGCTACTTCCGTCTCTTTTGCCACTCACACAGACACAGACACAGCCATCAAACGACACAGCGAGAAAAAAAACCACCAAGAGAGTGTGTGATAAAACGCGAATGAAGAGAGAAGAGGAAAAAAAGCGGTGAACAGTTCGTTATGTGAACTATGTGATTGCACGTCCATGCCGCGCGCGCGTCACTCCATGCAATGAGCATATCAAGGAAAAAAAAATTGCTGTTCTTATGCTTTGCTCAATTCTACCTAACTTGACTCTTGAGCTTCGCTCAATTCTCTCGAAAGGTATTCATTTTTAGCTCGACGAATTGCGGATTATACAAAATGGCATTGTTGGTGGGTGGAAATGCTAAGCGTTTGCCAAGCGCCAACAACATCAAAACCACAGAAAATTCCATTTTCGCACCCAATTTTCCCGATTCAAATTGACAACATTGGCTTTTATACTATGTACGATCGATATGTATCTATTTCCATCAGATATTTTTAGAAGTGCATACATAACATTTTAAAGGACAAAAGGTCGTAGTCAGCTGTAAAGTTTATATATATACACCATTGTATATCTGTGCATAACGATAAAATAACTGTGTGTTTCAGCTAGAAAATCACATTTCTCACCAATGTTCACCTTTTGTCCATTGCAACCGGCTAGATTGGTTTGGTGCAGCGAGAGTCATTCGCTCGCGCTCCTCTTCATATTCAATTGTGTATGTGCGTTGCTCTCTCTCTCTCTCTCTCTCTCTCTCTCTCTCTCTCTCTGAGCTGTTGTCGTTGATATTGTTTCACTTTAATTTGGAGGGTAAATCAGTCTTTTCATAGTTTGACCTTTTAATGTTGACTTTCTCTCCCGCTCGCCACCAATGCATTGCCGTGGAACACGCATGCGACATATACATATAAATACCTCAATTTTATAATCAATTTCATCAACGTTGCATACTTGAACCGTTGTAATACATCGAGAAACTTCAACTGTTCGCAGAAAAAAAAGTGAATCGACAATTTCGGTTGGCTTGAATATCAACGTTGGCTTTCGACTTGAAACCAAGTCTATTTTTAGCATTGATATGAACGCTTTTCATCGGATTTCAAGTTGTCATTGTCTTTTGGATCAATTCGAACAAAGTGAGAGTTCTTTTTGTGCGGGAGAGAAAGTCTTCGATTGGAACATTTGAAGAAAGTGTACAGAAAGAGTATTTACCGAGAATGTTCCAAGTCTTTTTTTCTTTCTATAGAATGTACAGTTTTTTTTTGAAAGGACGAATATTTTTCAATCTGAAAGAAATTTTCTTTGGAAGGCTAAATTTCCTGGCAATTTTCGTTTTTTTTTTTCATTTTTGACGAGTGATAAGTGACTTTTCACTTAATTTTCGATCTGGAGAAATAACAAAGAATGTTCTCGATGTCAATTGAAATGGATTTCATGAAAGAAGTGAATAATGAAAGACCTACCAAAATTTACTGTCAATCAATCAACGGATCAAGCCGAAATGATGTCGATGTGATGACTTCAAATCGAAGTCCAAAAATGACAAGCAATTGTGCAAGCACATGTTCTCCATGTCTACATTAATCGTCGCCTGATTATGTTTTCGTTCATTTAGCAAAAATCATTCAATGACAATTGGCAGCAGCAGCTGCTGCAGCGACAGCACATAATCCGAAAATGATTCAAATGAGGAAATTCCATGATTAAGAAGAGTTGCTAATTAAAACATATCAGTTGAGTTGCACGAGGCATGCCAATTGCACTGTTTTGTTTATTCGCTTTGTGTGTTATTGTCTGAGAGAGGCATGTTCAGTTGATACACACACACACATGGTTTGAGTGATGCTATTTCCATGGATATATCCATTTTTGTTGTGTTCTTTTTGTATTTGCTCTCTCGGTTCGTGTGGCGCTCTTTTTCTTCTTCATCTCACTCTTCGTCAAGCTCATCGTTTGCATTATTTATTCAGATGTTTGTTGAATTTATAAGTGAGCCTTTATAAAGGAAGTTGAATGCATTTCAACAACAACAACAAGACGAGAGCGATTCAGATGAGAAAAAAACAAACAAAACAAACCAGTCAAAGAAAACAAAAAAACTCATTGAGCGGCCGACAAGCAAGCAGACGGGTGAGTGTACAGTGTACACATGCGCTCGCGCTCGCGCCTCTACTAGATGCGTGAATTCCATTGTGTCGAAGTGCTTATTAACTGTAATGTTACGAAAATAAATTTACTGTAAAAATGGTTCCGTCGTTTTGTCGAATCAACTGGTTTTTTTTTGTTTCTATGGATTTTAGTTTTTCATTCAAATGAATCGCCCCAATCAGAGCAAAAGAAAGCGCCTGATGATTTATTTGAAAATTCGCTTCCGACGAGATTTGCTTGCGGACAATTTTTGTTTTTGTATTGACAAACATATAAAAATTCCGTAAATATTGTGGAGTTTGTTTACAACTCGAAAAGTTCAGTTTGTACGCCCAAAAATGCATTGCTTTCATTTCACTTTGGGTTGTTTTTCAAATATGTGTCTCACATGTGCTGAATTTGGAATAATCATTTTTATTTTCAACAGATTTATCGCTTATTAAAACCGTAATTGAAGACGTAATTGATTGACATGAGAAAAAAAGGCATTTATTCCATATTTTTCGCTTAACTCCCAATTAGGACTGCATTTAGTCCAATTTTCACCGATTCCATACCGGATTTGGCTTAATTTACATCAATTCGAGGAAAAATCACCTGATTTTGCAATCAATTTCACATGAAATTAATGACTCCAATCGAAAGATACAGATTAATGAATTCGCATGCCAAAAAATATCAATCGTCTACCATCTAACACCAAATGCGATTCATTTAGAAAGTTTTGCCCATGGATTTTGTTTAGGTTTTTTTTTTTCATTCATTTTTCTGAACGTTCAATGCTCTCTACCTTCATACCAATCATTTGAAATGCATGAATTTGGACACCTCTCTGGGGTCTGTGCACTCTTTTTGTGTCTCTTGTCGAATGCTTCACGTATTTAAATGTAGAATATATATTCACTGAACGCCTTTTCGATGTTGTTGTCGGCAATAAGTTATTGCATCGTTTTGTTTCTCACTAACTCTGACTTTGAGTCTCAGTCTCTCTCCCTATCTCTCTTTCTCCCAGTGTTTTCCTTTTTCTTCCCCTTCATCTGCTTCTCCTCCTTCTTTTTTTTCTTCAACCCAGCAGCCGCGAAAAGAAAAAGAAAACCCATTTTGCTGCTTGCATTTAAAATTATGTTCGGATCAGCATTTAATGCCATTGCATTTCATGATATCAAAATATGCAATCGATCTGCGGGAATATAGTAAACAAATGGGAAATTCAATGTGAATGTGCGCCGCACTGCAGAAACTGGTTTTTATTTATATATATTTTTTAACTGGCTCTGCTGTTCGTTCGCATCGATCGCTGAAAATTGCTTATCGATCACGACTTCCAGCTTGCATACCAATCGATCATGAATTGCGATCATTACGCTACAACAACAACAACAACAACAACAACGAATTTGTTTTCCGTTGCACTTTTGTAATTTTTAACTGTGATTCTTTTTTTCACTCTAGAAAGAACTTGAACATCGGTTATTTCAAGTCATTACGGATTCATTAATTTGTTGAACTCTTTTTCTTTAATTTTCTTTTGCAGACGAGCAAAACGAGTGTTTGCATCGAGTGCCGTGGCACAGCGGCTAAGGGTCCAACCGGAACGGCCGAATTGTTGAGCTCATGCTGTGGCTGTGGTCTATCGTTACATTCGTCATGCGCCAGTAAATTGGCCAATTTGGCATCAAACATTGTTCCACTATCGATTCTTGTAAAGAAAGGTAGCAAATGGTGGTGTAAACAGTGCCAATCAACATGTAGCGCATGCAAAACGTCCGCCACATCTGCACATAGTAATAGTAAAGGAATTTGTATGCTAACCTGCTGTACTTGTGATAAGAACTATCATCTATGTTGTTTAGATCCAGTGCCTGTGAAAAAGCCAAAGTGCCCATGGAGGTAAGAATCGGTTATGTAGTTTTTTTTCTTCCCGTTTTTCATTCACATACACATGAACTAACTCTATATTCTCTTTTGTTTACTGTTCGTCGCAGGTGTCGCCATTGTTTGGAACATCATGACAATGAGTTGAAAAAATCGTCTAGTCGTAAATCAGCCAATTCACCATTATCCGCGCGAAAAAAGATCAACAAATTTCAACCACATAAAAGTGTTGATAAAAAGAAACAGCTCAGGTAATGATCAAGCGATTCGTGCATTTTGAACAAAACAACAGAAAATCCGTTCTGCTTCGAATCGAATATTTCGAAACGTTTTTCAATCGATTTCAATTGCGAAGAAGAATGACAATTGGAAAAGATTGATATCTTGAAATGTGATTGGACTCTAATTATTGGTCGAAAATTAGTTTAAATCTAAACAGAAATGACTTAAAATTTATGAAAAAAAAAATGAATCCAAACCAAAAAAAAAAAAAACTGATTTTAAATTGTTTCTAATTTTCATTTTCATGCAACACACAGAGTGGATTCGATGCTACAGAGTGCAGCGTTTCGAACGCCGGAAAATGTATCATCGTCACGAATATCGGAGCGATTGATATCGTCAACGCCACTCAACAGTAGTAGTTCGTATCAAAAGAAATCGACAAATGCACGTCGAAGAATTGTACCTGCAACGCAAACAAATCGATTGACATCGAGCGAATCGAGCGACGACGATGACGAAGACGACGACGACGATGACGATGATGAAGACGATGATGATAACGACGACGATGATGACGACGAAGAGGTGGAAGATGATGATGACAGCGAGGATGAGGAGAGTGAAAATGATGACATTGACATCGACATCGATACATCACCGCAACAGCAGCAGCAACAACAACAACAACAACAACAGCGGCGCATTTGCAACAATGATCCAGCTGATTTCACCATCAACGATACGCATTTAATGGGTAAACAAAACTTTTCCTCCTCCTCCTCCAAAATACATTCAGTTGCGTCGCGAAATTCGTCTCTAGCCATTAGTTGTCGAATTGTCGGGAATGATAATCAAGCCACGCATTCGCTACAACCACATTTAGGAAAGAATGTGCGAATGTCCAAAGAAAAGCAGAAATTCTTTCGACATTCGGCATTCAATAGCGAACGAATCCAAAAAACGTCACCCACTTCAACCAACTCAGCAACAACAAATCGAGCAGGTAACTGTCTCTCTCTGACCACCACCACCACCACCAATCCACCCATCAATCCATCCCCAAAAAAAAAAACAAAAAACACAAAACACAAACAATTAAAACACTCACTCACACATACATACACACAACCACTCCCAAAATTCTCTCGACAACAAAGAAAACAAAACAAAAGACCATTTGGTTTTTTGTTGTCTCTTTATTCGTATTATCATTTTACCCTTTTAACTTCTTTCTTTTGCTAATCATGGAATATTTGTTTTGGGAAAAATTAACATTAGCGCGACCAAATGCGGTTGAGATGCGAAACTCTCTTGTGCACAAGCTGAATGCGCGAATCAGCGCTTCGGCTTGTGCCGCGAATGTCCCGCGATTTGAGCTGCATTTTCGCACGATAGAAAAACAAAACTAAATACAAAATAAAAAAAAAACTGAATTCTTTGGTTAATTCCATGACTAATTGTGAATTGAATTGTCGCCATTTCCCCTTTTACCTACCTACCTTCCCCTATTCAAATCAATCAATTTAGCATCGAGCTCCAGCAGTGACGATGACGATGAAGAAGAGGACGATGACGATGATGAGGAAAGTGATAGCTCGTCGGAATCGTGTAGTTCGAGCAGTTCCTTTAATTCGGATAGCAGTTCGTCCAGTGATTCGGTGTCGTCAGACGATGATTCGGATGACAATGACCAAAATGCGAACGGCGCCAGTACAAACAGCAAAGCAAGCGCCACAGCGACCAAGACCAACACCACCAACACCACCAACACCGGTACCAGCAAGCGGTCTAAGGATTCGATCATTGATGCGTCCAGCACATCGTGGGGCTTTGCCGCCGAAGCGAAAAAGAATTTCGACATATTCCGTCGGTCAACGAATGCCTTAAGTGAACGTGTTTTTGGTAATTTTGATGGTGTCGACAAGGAATCACTCGTCAAAACCAGCTCCAATTCCAAGCCAAATTCACGACTCTCCGCCCAACAACAGGCAGCAGCGACGGCGGCCAATTCAAGCCTGCTAATGCCCGCATTCACCAACAACAAAGGCAATGCCAGCGATGGCAACAAAACGAGCGGCCGACGAAAAATCAAAACTCAATCACACACCAACAAAGATAACAACCATACGGATAGTCATCACCATCACCATCATCAAAAGGATGGCACTGGTCGCACTGAGAAAAAGACTGAATTTAGTAGTTTCCTTAAAACGAAAAATAATCGAAAACTGAACGCGTTTGCTGTGTGCGACAGTAGCGATGCAACGGACTCAAAAGATCTGTTCACACGACCGAAGACGAGCGGCGCCGCAGTAGCAAAAGCAACAGCGACGGCGGCGGCGGCGGCGGCATCGTCGTTGTCGTCGTCGTCGTCGTCCAGCAACGCTCTGTCTTCGTCTTCTTCGCAAAGTTTCGGTAGCAATCGTGGTAGCAATAGCAGTGCCAGCATATCCAAACTTCGTTTAAACAATAACGTACATAGTAGCAAATTAAATAAACAACAGCAAATCCACTCCGATACCACCCAGCCACCATCGTCGCGTACACATTCAAAGGACACAATGAATCAAAGAGTGGTGGCCAGTGCTACTGCAGCAACAAACAACTCCTCCTCCTCCATAAATAACAATAGCAATAGCATACGAAATAATAATACAAACAATTCAAATAATAATAAATCGCCGGGAACGCCGCGACGCGTTGCATTAGTATCGCTACCACTTGATCCGTCAAATAAAAACCGCTACGATTCATCGAGCGAAGATGATATACCCTATTTAACGACGACGCCATCAACATCACACCAATCCGATAAACATGCAAAATATTCATTGGATTTTGCGTCGCTAGTTGCAGGGATTGATTCACATACCAATGTTAATAGCGGTGCCGGCCACCATCATCACCATCACCATCATCACCATCACAAAAGCGGTGTTGGTGGTGGTGGAGGCGATGGTGGCAGCAGCAACAGCTGTGCCGGTATCCGATCAATCCCTGATCCGTTAGGAATTTCGTCAAATTATCCAATGTTGTCGTCATTGTCACCGCACACGCCACCATACAACAAAAATCAATCAATGGGTAAGAATAATCAATATTCACCATAAGCAAAAAAAAACAAACATTTACATATACCGTAAATTCGTTTAAAAAAAAAAACCAAACAAAAAAAATACCGAACCAAAAACAGAAAACATACTAACTCGAATGCACTCACACACCACTCAGAAAAAGTGTTACATGACTGATATGTATTGCATAATTTGCCTTATATTTTTTGAATTGGGAGCGAGATCATTGTGCATTCATTGATAGCTTCACAGATTGATGCTCTTCAGACGGCGTTGATTGATGCGCTGCATTCGATTTTGATATTGTTGTGCGCGTGATTAAAGGGTTGATCGTTGCAATTTGTGTATGTTATTTTTCTCTTCGCTTAAGAAGAAACAAGAGACACGCTCATCATGCGTCTTTCTCACACTCTTTATCAACGATCACACAAACACCACCACCACCACCACACACACACAAGCATTTAGTCCAAATTCGGCTCTTAATTTTATTTTGTTGTTGTCGTTTGTTGTTGTTGACTTTTTTGTTTGCTTTTATTCCGGTAAACCATTCGTAGTTTTCATAATTGAGCGTTTCGTTTTTCTTTGAATTATCCACATGCTGGGGAAGTGTGTGCGCGTGTGTGTGTGTGTGTGTGTGTGTGTGCGTGCCTGAAAGTATTTTACTTTTTGGAAAAGAAGAAGAAAAGTTTTTTTTTTCTTCCTTCGAATGGACCACATTTGAGATGTTTCCCTTTTCTTTTCGACGATCTCTTGTGCGCCACCAATGGCCAATTCGGCACGAAAACCCAACAAAGCACTCGAATGATCGATTATTTTTTCAGTAGTAGCGGTGACACCTGGCGAAACACGAACATTTTCAATTCTCTATTCCCCTCCTACCCTCTCCAAATCAACCTTCAAAAAACTTTTTCCAAAATAACACATTCTTATGAGCAAACAAACATGATTTGAATTAAGTTTGTACACTTTTTTCGTTGTTTGTTCGTCTTTTTTTTCGTGCATTAAATGTGTTATTTGGTCTCTTTGACTCCCTAAAAAAAGGAGAACACATTGGCTTATCTCGAACATATTTGGATCGGTGATCAAATCATGGACCAAACATGTCAATGTCGATCGAAATATCGATCATGTGAAAGCGATACTCACCTCTTCCCTACCTCTCTACCCAACACACTCACACTCAGAAAAATTATCAAATATCGTGTGCAATCGGTAAATTGTGGTACAAAAACAAACAAAAAAACAGAATTACCTCTACATGTGTAGTGGCAAAAAGAAGAAAAGAAAAAAAATGGGTGAAGCGAGGATATGATTTGTTTATATTGTTTTGATTTGCGGCGCCGCTATTTATTGCCAAATTGCAACCAAGCTTTTTGAAACCATGACCAATTTGAACGAAATGAATGAATCAGAAAAAAACCAAAATGATATTCGATCATGTGAGAGCTTCAATCAAACACTGCCGGGTTCGGTCGAGATCAGCTGTCAAAATAGAACCGAAAAGAAATGAAACTGATTGAGTGAAAAATGCACAACTGCAAATGAGAGTACACGTGAGAGAGAGAGAGAAAGAGCGAAAAAGAGAAAGAGAGAGAAAGCGGCAAATTTGAGTGAATGCAACGAATGAAAATGTACCATTTTGCAGTGAACAGCAATAGCACCTTCACCTAAATCAGCACAAGGAATTTCTTCAGAAAAAAAAAAACAATAACCAAAAAAGAAAGATCAAATCCAAAAGAAAAAACGAAAAAAATTGTACACTAAATTTGGTTGGCTTAGAGATGCAACAGTAACATGAATGTGGTCCATATCAATCGAGTGCGGTACATTGAAAGCAAAACACCGTGCAATTTGTATTTCGACTTTCGAGCTGACATTGTTCTCAGACACTTCAGTACCGGGCGCGCATTTTTTCGTACTATTTTTTTTCTCGTTCGCAATTTTTTCTGCTCCAAAAATGTGCACAATTGGAAATTCAATAAAAACGAACAACTCGCAAAATTCAATGATTCAATTTATTTTTTTTTTCTTTAATTCGTTTAATTTTTGATAACATTTATTTTCGTATGATAATTTGTTGTTTTCTTCTTGAAAGTTTTTTACGAATAAAAATGATTAATGGGCTGTTTTTTGTCTTGGATTTTTTTTATTCTGTTTTGAATATGATATAGAAAAACAACCGCTTCCGCCAGGCGTGACGCAAAGGGATGCCGATCTCTTCAAGGAGGTGCAAGAGAAAGCTGTCGATACGGTGACGGAGATAATGAATGCAAACGGTGGCCAAATCAATCTGGCGATTGGCCAGGGTGCGAGCAATTTAAGCACATGCCTTTTGTCATCATCATCGCTGGCGATGGCCGCACAAGCACGTTGCCCATCTGCCATCGAATTTGGCCAATGGCACATCGAAACATGGTACTCCAGCCCATTCCCACAAGAATATGCACGGTAAGGATGCGATTAATCGAATATTATGATTGGACGATGTTTTCGATATGAAAAGTTAAAATTTCAAACCTGAAATCGAACCAATCACAACGGATTTATTCTAATCACAAGCCTTTTCTTCTTCGAAACCCTTTATTTTCCAGACTACCGAAGCTGTTTCTTTGCGAATTTTGTTTGAAGTACAGCAAAAGTAAAGCGGTTTTGGATCGCCATCAGGAGAAATGCACATGGCGTCATCCGCCCGGTACCGAAATCTATCGCCGCGAAGATATTTCAGTGTTCGAAGTGGATGGCAATGTGAATAAATTGTATTGCCAAAATTTGTGCCTGCTCGCCAAACTGTTTCTCGATCACAAGACACTGTACTATGACGTTGAACCGTTTTTGTTCTATGTGATGACAAAAAATGACCGCAAGGGTTGCCATTTGGTTGGTTATTTCTCTAAGGAGAAACATTGTGCGCAAAAGTATAATGTGTCGTGTATCATGACAATGCCACAGTATCAACGACAGGGTTTTGGTCGTTTTCTGATCGATTTTAGCTATTTGCTGAGCCGGGAAGAAGGCCAGCCGGGAACACCAGAGAAACCACTTTCCGACCTGGGTCGTGTTTCATATCATGCGTATTGGAAATCGGTTGTGCTTGATTATCTGCATAAAAATCGCAACCAATCAATCACAATGCAAGCAATTGCCAATGAAACCGGTCTCTATGTGCCCGACATTGCGCTAGCGTTTCAATTATTGCATTTTGTGCGATGCATTAAGCGAGATGGTGACTTTAAGTATCAGATTCTCTTTTCGATCAATTGGGACAAAGTGAATGCATATCATGAGCGAACGCTGAAACAGAAAAATCGCATTTACATCGATCCGGAATGCTTGCGTTGGACACCATTGCTCACGCCCGCTTTGCATATGCTAAAGAGTGACTCTGAAGATGAATCGATGCACATGCAAATCGATGATAACAACAAAAGTACCTCGCCCGATCTAACATTGGCCGAAGTTGCCAACAAACGCATGAGAGGCTCGAAAAAACTGCAGCAGCCACCACCAACCGCGTCGACAACAACGCCAACGGCGAACAACATTCTAAACAAAAAGCCATTGGGTAAGACGAGATTTTTGTTATTTTCTTTGAAAGTTCGATTTTGTTTTGCTTAAATCAAAACTTGCACCCAAAATCATAGGGAATCACAAATTTAATCAAAAAATGACTAAAAATAATCTAAAACAATATCTATTCTCCTCATTCGCAGGTCGACCATCACGAAAATCCGAAGCAGCAGCTGTTCAAAAGGTTGAAAAGCCGCAATTCGAAACGCCGCCAAGTACAGCGACCCAGATTGAGATCACATCATCTGGTCGTCGTCGAATACGTCCAATGAAATTCAATGATTTCGCCGATATCAAGCCGAAAAGTGCATCGAATGAGAGTTTAGTAGCGCGCCATACGCAACCGGAGCTGGAAACGCCGCCGGTCAAAGAGCGTCGCCGTCGTCGTCGTGGCGATCGTGAAGTGATTGAAATGGGTTCACCACTCAAAGACTACGATGAGACCAAGCGAACGCGATACCATGCCAACTCGGCGAAATTAGAAGGTGAAGAACGAGCGCCAAAGCGAAAGATTTCGCTAAACGAGGATGAAATCGATGTGACCGTGCACAAGCGACAGCGAATGACGCGTGAAACGAGTGGAGCGACAACGCCAACGAGGCACACACGAGGCCGTTCAATAACAGTCGGTACCAATGTCAAAGACGATTTACCAATTGAACCGGAAAAGACGCACAAACGACGTCGAACGACTGGCATCCAATCGATCGATGAACCAACCACTTTGGAGCACATTCAAATCAAAGAGGAACCGCGAACAAATCAAGAGCTAACACGATTTGGCAAATTGATATCGTCAGCGGAAAAATCGCATCGTGAAAATCGTTTGGTTGCCCAACCGTTGATAAAATCGGAACAAATCGAAGCACCGCGTCGTGGTCGCAAACCGAAGCCAAAACAGCCAGTATTTGAATCGGACACACAATCCGAATCGACAGATGCCGGTCGAAAATTTCCGAAAGTGGGTCGACCACCACGCAATGCACGACCTAAACCTAACTACTCGAACGAACGACGATCATCGAGGAATTTGAGTACACAGGAACAACCGAATTCACCTTTGACTGGAGCCAGTACTGAGCCATCGGGCGATGAGTGTCTCAAGTCTAGCGATAAACGTACCGGACGTCGTCATCCACGACGAAGCAGTGGTGCTCATGACGAACAAGAGATGATGCAACCACCAGTCGTTGAAAATCATTCGGAAGATGATATTGACAGCGTTATCGAAGATGAACCGGTGAGTTTGAGGAAAAACAAAACGAAATTGGCCGATATATTTACAAAGGCGGCGGGAAAACGGGGCAAAAGAAAGCGTAGCTCACCAATTGTGCCGCACAATCCAAGCAAAATCCATGGACATCGAACTTCGGGCCGTATTGCTGCCGCTGCTGCTAAACGACAACCAAGCCCATCGTCTGATGGACATTACGCTTCGACGCCACATCATTCACATGGCGGTGGAGGCACCAGCAGCGATGACCAACAATTTTCCAATAAGAAACAAATGACACTACCCGAAATGATGCAAATGCAAAAGGCCAAGAATAGCGCAACGGAACAAAGGTATGAACAAAAGCAAATTTATGAACAATTTTGAAGACATATTCGAATTTTTTTTTCACATTTTCGAAAGAAAAGACTATTTGAAAACGAAATTACATTTTCTTGGAAATATATCTTAAAAATAATAAATCCTAACATAAAAATATTGAACAAAATAAAAAATAAAACTTTTTTCCCCATTTTCAGACCGATTCGTCTCAATCCAACTGTTGATCTCACAAAAGAGACGCTTGAAATTGTCAAGCCTGATACATCGGGGAAATCACAAGTTCTAGCACAGCCCGTCGAATGTGTGACACCGATCAAAGAGGAAACCAAGCCGATAGCCACAACACCCAAGTTGCGTGGCAAACGGAATGTCAACCAGGCGCCAGAGTGTGAGAAACCGCATGATGAGTACTCGGCCGAAGCCGACGATGAAATGGAAGAAGAGATAAAATTGTGCAATAAGAAAAAGCTAATGGTTGCACTGAAGGACATCAATGCCGATAAAAAATTGGTCGAAGGATCGTCGGTGAAAATGTTCTCGTTGGAACAACGTGACAAATCATTGGTCAGTTCCGTATCGGTGGCAAGTGTTTCGACAGCGCCAAAGATCGATGTGGTTCAAAGTAGCGCCGCAGTGGTTGAAAAAGTGGCACCACCTTCGGTGGAATCCATAAGCGATCGACACTCTGTTGCTGTAGCAAAGAAGACGAAGAAACAAAAGATTATCGAAAATGATGATGAACCGCTTGAAATGAGTGTGATCGAAGAGCGAAAGCGTAATGAGTTCAAGCCATCGAATGATCGTTTGGAAGAGGTGCGATCGTATGACAGTGAACGCAAGGAGAAGGATCAAAAATCTGAGGAAAAAGACACAACGAAAAACAATAAAACCGCGTTCACCACGGCTGTGGAACCGAAAATTGAACGGCCACAACCGCCTCCGCCGCCGCCGCCGTTGCCCGAAAAAGAAGATGATGCGAACGAATTGGGCAGCGATGATATGGAAATATGCGATGATACGACCAATACCACACCAGCGTATGAACCACCAAAATTCTCTTCACCACCAAAAAGCCAATACCCGTCAAAGTTGGACAGTGATACAGTGTCTGCGCCAACGCAGCCAGCACTACCAGTACAAGTGCAACGAGATTCGGTGGAAAAAGAAGCAACCGCTTTGAAACCAACCATTTCGAATGAGCCAAAAGTCAGTGAAGTGCGACCGTATTCAAGTACCTCACCAACAAAACCTCATGAGAAGTGGACGGCAAATGAACGATTACATTCAGAATCATCGTCATCAACATCGCATGAGGTGAAAAGTGTTGTGGTCAAAACCAACGAAAGCGTTGAGGAACGGTTGTCACCAATAAAAAATGCAACGTTATCAACGGTGACAACTGTTATCGGTCCGGATAAAGTGCAAGAGAATGTGGTTAAGTCACCGATTGTTGAGCTCCGGCCGAATGTCATTGTCGACGCGCAAAGTGAAACACCTCAAGAGCCACCAGTCAATCAGCAGCAGCAGCAACAACAACCGCAGCAGGTGTCGCCGGTCAAGAGCGACAAAGCCGCCGAAGAGCAACAAGTAAAAGAGAAACACGTGTCACCGGTGAAGCTGTCACCAACGATTGTGAATCCGAAAACCAGTCCAACAGTTCGCCAACCAAGCATTGAATCGAATGTACCGATTAAAATTGATACAGCATCTGATAAAGAGACCAGCCCAAGTAAAAATATCCGGATCAATTCTGCGTCGGATCTCGAACCCGATGCCGATGTGAGCAAATCCAAGGTGGCCACGAATCGAACGGAACACATTTCACCACGTGAAAAGGCACAACAATGTCAAGCAGCCGCTGCCACTGCCGCAGCAGCTGTTGTCCAACAGTCGAGCCCGGAAAAAGCGCGTGATTCCAAGAACAGTGTGATTAAATCGGTGATCGAACCGCTGAATACAGTGCCAAGTGTGGATTGTGTGCCATTGAGCGGTTCAACGGTGGGTGTGTCAAAAAACGATGAAACCAAAACGACAACGCAGGATTTTTGTCAACGCATTGATCCAAACAAAACACCACAGTGTGTAGGTAATTCGGATGGCAAAGTGGAAACGAAGCATGAACCATTCAAAATGGATCACAGTTCACCACCCGCATCATCATCAATGTCGTCGACAACGTCGTCGTCGTCGTCGTTGGCAGTAGAAAAACCGTTACATGGCGTGCCGGAAACGGTGAAAACACAACCCAAAGACACTGGCATCATTCAACCGAAAGAGGAACCAAATCGCATGGAAAGCACCACGCCCGGCCCAAATTCGGCCAATGGCAATCAACCGCCAAGTGAATCCAGCAAGAATCGGTACAAACAACAACAGGCGAGTGCAAAGCAAAGCCATTCGTCGAATAGCAAAAGTCAAAGCAGCGGCACCGATCACAAGAAGAACACATCGAGCAGTTGCAGTCAAACGTCACACTTTGATATAAAACGTGAATCAAAAACGGATATAAAAACAAAATCTGGCTACGGCAATGAGAGTACAATGCGACGCGAATCACCGACCAAACGTGAATTGACCAAACAATCGACTGGTTATGGTTCGTCATCGATGTCATCCGGATCGTCGTCGTCATCGTCAAAAAACTTTTCAAATGAATCGACATCAATGTCCGGATCGAAATCGTCTATGTCGAGCGGCTTGGGTTCAACACAAGGCAGTGCTAGTGTTGGTGGTGAAAAGAAGCACGGCAGTGCCGAAAAGAAATCAACATCCGGCGAAAAGAAGTCAAACAGTGCGGAAAAGAAAGCACCCGAAATGCGCGGCAATCTCGATGCTGATCTCAATAAGATGCGACCACAGTTTGCCATGAATCAATTGCCCAACTATCACACGGCACATCAGTATTACAATATATCACCGTGGGACGCATACAATTATCACTCGGGCTATAATATGCATTTGGATCCAACCACACAAAAATCACCCACCAAATTTCATAAAGATTTGGCCAATTCCATGTACGGTGGCATGACATCCAATTATTTGGCCGCCAATTCACTTGCCGCTCAACAGCAGCAACAACAACAGCAACAGAATCAACAACAAATCCAATCGAATCTACAGTATCAACATCAGCAACAGGTAAGAATGGCGATTTATGGCCTTTTTGTGTGTTTTTTTGTTTTTTTTTTTTTGAAATTTGATCAGAAACTCAGCGTTTTTGGATCAAATTGTGATGGATTTCAATGCAAAAATAACACACAACTCATATTACAACACATTTTCATTCACCTTTTCAGCTACAACAGTCAACGAGCAACCAAAATATCCAGCATCAATTGCAGCATCAGCAAAATCAGCAGCAAATTCAATCGAATTTGCAATTGCAACACCATCAACAACAGGTAGGATTTGGTTCATTTTCTATCAAAATTATATATCGAAATGGTTCACGTTAATTTAAATCGATTCAAGTCACTTTATGATTTTGTTCTTGAAATAATTTTTTCGTATGATTTGAACTGGAGTTGAATAAAAAGAAATGTCCATACTAACGAAATGTGTTCATTCTCACAGCAGCAACAGCCGCCGCCTCAGCATAATAATCAAATGCACAACCGTGATAAGACGTCGTCATCGTCACAGCCGCGAAAGAGTTCCAGCCATGAGCAAAAGCATTCCAACAAAAGTATTAAAGAGGAGCACATGAACAAAACCAAGGACTCGGCATCGATGTATGCAAATCAAATAAACAAAGGTGAGTCATATTTGCTTGGCTATTTCATTTGCTTTAGGGTTTTAACTCATCCAAAACATTTTTTCATATTCCTCGTGAAGAAATGAGATTGCAAGTTTGAATAGACGGACAAAAAGTAATTAAAAAAATAAAAATAAAAAAACCACCAAAAAGCAAAATTACGACAAATTTCAAATTGAATTGCTTGGAAAAGAAAAAAAAAATTCATAATAAAAAGTTCGGTAAAAATCTAACAAACTCTCCACACTTTTTCCTAAATATTTGCAGCCAAAAACCACCATCAAAAGGGTCACAATGAGAAGGCGCACGCAAATCTACAGAATAATTTGAGTCCATCACCGCATATGGTGCAAAATCAAAATGCCATGAATGCTATACCACCGCAATCGAATAATTTGCTAAATGCCAACAATGCGCTCAATCCGAATATGATGCAATCGACGAAAAATAGTTCGTTGGCCGTTGATCCGAATCAGCATCACATTCAAAATGCGCATCATCAGCAAGATTTGACGGGTAACACGACACCAAACAGCAATACGACCGAACTGAAACAGCACACCTCACCAGCCGCTGACATTCCATCGATGGGTGTGTACACACCGGATTCCACCACAAATTCGGTACACAGTTTGCATCACTATAGCCAATGTGATTTGGATGTTGCACATTTGGGCCTTGAATCACCGGCCAGCATCGCTAGCGATATTGCGTCACAGAATTCCGTGGAAAATGTTCGACCGCCAAGCGTTGTGTCACATCCACAAATGAACCAATTCTCCGACTGTTCGATCCAACAACAGCAAGCCAACCAGGCACATCTACACATGGCCATACAACACCATCAACAGCAGCAACAGCAACAATCGAATCCCGGACGCGGTTATCAACTTGGACCAAACGATATGGTCGCAATCAATAATCATCAACAGAAACAGGTAACTTAACATGAATATTGACGTTTTTTTTTTTCTTGTCGTTTGATCTCTTTGTATCTCTTGTGATTGACTCTCTTTGTTACCTCTTTATTTTGTGACGAAGAAGCCATCTTTCTGTTTTGTGCGTTTTTTTGAATCATTTTAATCGTTTATTATCTTGAAATTTCATTTTAGACCAAATTCAACGATTTTCTAACAACTCATTTGTTATTTCAGCAGCAGCAGCATATGGTTGCTCAGCAAGTTCGTGCCACGAACAATCGTTCGACAACGCCAAAGGCACGAAATACCTCGACGCCTGGCTTACAACAGCAACACGCTTCACAACGAGCACGAACTGCCACACCAAATCATACTGTGCAACAGCAAATGGTCAGCCCGGGAGCAGGTTAGTGCAGTTTTTTTTCTTTCAATATTCATTTAGTTTGAGTAGTTTTTTTTTGTCATTTTTCTGTAAATTTCAACTCAATTTTCCATTTTTTTTCTCTATACTTTTACATTGAAAATCGTCGCCATTTCTTGTCGCAAACTATTGAATTCTTGAAATGATTCAATTGAATGAAAAGAAAGAAGTTGAATGTAACTCAAAATCGAAAATGTTTTTTTTTTTTAGGTCAACAAATCCAGCAGATGTCAATGCAACAACAGGTGCACTTGCAACATCAGCAAGCTCAAAATCAACATCAAGCGCAGCAAGTTCATCAGCAGCAAAGCCTTGATGTCCAGCAAATCGATCAGTATAACAATCATTTGTCGGGAGCAGTGCACGGACATCATCAGGTGATGCACCAGCAGCACGATTATTTGGGCGTGCCACAAATGGGATCGGCACAGAATTATGCGGCCCAATCGCCAAATTCGTATGGAACATTGCCCATGACATCGGTCATTCAACATCGTATGTCTGGCAATCATTCCAATTTAACGACACACAATCCATTGCCTAGTCCACATCAACGATTGGGACCATCACCATCGTCATGCTCTGTTGGTTCAAACTTTTATGGTCAAAGTCCAAACGTTCCACCAGGTATGCATTCAACAAGATTTTTCCTTTTTTACATGTATCGATTCATTTTGAAACAACATCAAAATGCTTTAGAGAGAATCATTTCGGAATTCCGAGTTTAAAAAATGAATCGAACGTTTAAAATTGAACTTTAATCTAAACAAAAAACGAAGTTTCAGCTCTTATTTATACTGAATGTTCCATTTTCACCAACAGTATCACACACGCCGGTTCCAACGCCGACTCCAACACCTTCTGTGACGCCAACGCTGCAGCAAATGAACGCATCGGTTGGTTCAAATAATGGTGGTGCGACTGGAAACAATGCCAACTTAGCAAATCCATGCGTTGTAAGTACACAATTTGAGCTTAACTTAGTTTGAAATTCAAACTTTGAATGCAGCAAAAAATCCAAATATTAGTTTTGAAGTTTCGAACAAACATATTGGAATTTAAACAAATTCCAATCGATAATGCCCAAAAAATGCTAAAAAAATCAATTATCCTTTTCTCGCACTAGGAATCGCGAGCTGGAAATGTATCGAGCCTGTCAAAACTGCAGCAATTAACAAATGGATTGGATATCGTGCAGCCGTGCAATACGCCGCCAGCGGCTTCAATAAACCTAACGCCATCGCCGAATCATCATCCGCACAATACGATGACACCGCCGCCAGCGTCACATTTGGTCAATCAGAATCGTAATTTGCCAACGCCACCGAGTGCCGCTCAAATTCCATCGATACCCTATCACAAGTACCATTATTCTAGTAATATTTCGCATATGCCACCGAATCCAAGTCCAAATTTACCACCGAATTTACCATCAAATTTGGCACCAAACACGCAACGATCGCGAACAGCACGAAATACACCTTCGGCAAATCTAATCTCACCCTATGGTTCGGCATTGAATGGTTATCGAATGACCACACAACAGCCAAGTAGCTATATTGCCAATTCAGCGGCCGGTTTTAATCCGGGCCAATTACAAATCACCAACATGGCCAATGTAATGAACATGCAGTCACAGTATCAGGATCCGGCTGCGTTGCAACGTGCCGCAGCTGTTCAACAAAATTCCATGTACTCCACCTATCCATATATGCTGAATGCAAATCCGATGCGCAGATGAGGTCAGGTTTGCGTGAAGATCGAAGATACGTGCGACGATGATTTCTAGCCATCACTTCAAGCCACACAAATCGATGAAGACTTGACAAACTTCAGCCATTGACATCGTTTTTCTCAATTTATGACACATGAACTATGACACGCCATCATCCAATGAAATATTCCAAACGAATATGATGATGAAATGAAGGGGAAACAGCTTTAGAGAAACAAAATTTAACAAACACAAAACAAAAATAACCGAAAAAGAGAAAAATCATGAAACAAAGTCACATAAAAAACAATCCATTCATAAGACAACTGTCGAAGAATATGTTGTTATGTATTTTAAATGAGAGCAACAAAACTGTAAATAATTATGTATTTAAGCAGGAACACGAAACAAAAAATTGGCAAAAGATGAATGCGACAATTTTGAAAGAAGTAAGGAAAAGATAAACATTTCAAAGGTGAAATGAAAAAGTGAAAAGTAAAAAAAAAAAGTGAAAGAAAAAATCGACAAAGAAATTAAAGAAAGGAAAAATGAATCCCACTAGAGAGCTACGTTTGAATGAAATGTGTATGTTCATTTATTATTATTTCTTCTTTTTGATCCACACAAATATTTTCTTCTCTGGAGCGTTGTATTCTTGAATAAATTTTTTTTTATATTATTATCATTATTATTATTATTATTGGTTTAGTTATGCTGCTGGGCGCACACAGAGAGTCCCAGTCATTACGTTTATCTGAATATCTTATGCTATTATTTATTTTTAATTATCTAAGTGGTTATGATTATGTATTTACGCGCTACCTACTACGAACTAAAACACAAATCACAACCGATCACAAGGATATCGGCCAAATTGGCCGGTCAATAGACAAATGACATGCAAAAAAAAAAATGAAAATATGAACACCGAAGAAAAATCGAAAATGTTACCGTTCACATAATTTCCAATTAATTTTTTTTAGTAGCAACAGCAAAGAAAATGAAATATCGAAAAGCAATAATTAAATCCCGCAAGAAGAAACCGTTTTGCTTGATTATTTGTTTTCGATATTTTGCCGTGTGTGAATACGGTAATTTATTCTATTCTCCTTCGATCAAAATCCTCATCGAGATTTTTGTTTTCCTTTCTTTTAATCATCGTTCTTCATTTTTATTTTATTCCACAATTTTGTTATCGTTTCCATTCAAACTTTCGAAATTGTTGATCAATTGATCAACTTAAACCTAGTGGATGGAAATATGCCAGTGGTACCATTCATTGAATCCAACATTTATTTGGATGCCAACAATGGACAGTGTCCATTGGACACACCATCATTGAGCACTACCATAAATGGATAAAAAAAAACAGCAAATAAGCAAACACAAATTTCTTACACTTTCTCGTCCGCTCTCACAACTAAAACACGGAGGACAAACAACAATGAGAATAATGAACACAGACACACACAAATCTAACACGTTATTTAATTATATCATAGAAATCTATATTACTTAATGAGTCTATTTAATAGAAATACAACAGCGAAAATGAATAAATGAATTCAACAACATCAACTAACTGAGAGAAGGGAATAAATTCATACATTTAATAAATAATAATGCAAGACTACAGTAATCGGAGTCGAATCAATCAAACAAAAACACAAACATAAATCTAATGATGAACACATACATGGATTAGGAGAAGATGTAATTTAAAAGTAAAATGAAATGAGCAAAATAAAGAGAAAAAAAACACAATGCCTATACAAATCTAAACATTTAGAACAAGTCGAAACGTAAGTCTTACAACACAAAAAAAAAACACAAATTATATTTGACAAAAATAAATTATAAACCACAAAGAAATGAAATATAAAAACAAACAAAAAATGAGTTGAATATAGAAATTTTCACAACGATTTGTATTTATTTACATCTTTTTTTCAGAGAAATAAATTTGAGTGATGAAAGTGATTTGAATTCTGATGCCATTTTCTCGAAATTCGTCGGGAAAATGTCAAGTGGCAAATGTTTCAGGAGACCGCTTCTTATTCTTAGTTTTTCCGGTTTTCAAATATATTCTTATATCTTCTCTTCAAAAAAATCCACTATTCGATCTGATTTGCGTTCTTTGTACCGAATATGGTAAATAACACGAAAAAAATGCATGAAAGGTTGGAAACTGGATAACATAAGATTTGGAAAAAACTCAAAAAATTAGCGCAAATGAAACAAAATAAAATGTTAAATGATGAAAAAAGTATTTCCAAATTGGTATAAATTTGAATTCAATCAAAACATAAGGTTGCGTTCAGAACAATGTCAACTTCACTTGAATACAAACAAGGATCTGCCAAGTCCATTGTTTACTAATTACAAAAGCATGCACTTTGCACTCAGTCGTTAGTCGTTCATCACATAGGTCGGTGCATAAACTTTTCTGTGTATTTTTTTTTTTCAAGTTTCATTGCGAATGACGGTGATGACCACACAAAACATCAGCCGGTACATTTTGACACAGGAACCAAATAAAAATATATTTTTAAAAAATATGTAAGTATTTTGTTCTGAGTTTGTTTCATTTTGGTTTATTTTGTGTACATTCGAATAAATCTGCATATGTTTTTTGAATGAAAGAATTCATTCCTGTTTATTGTAAATTTATTTCTAGTTTGGTTGAGAATTTTCATTATGGCAAAATACAGAAAGGGACAGTCGTTTGGAAAGCGTCGTAAATTCAAAGTAAACGGTGGACAAATGGCAACGGAAGAGAATACCAACTCTTTTCCCTTAAAAGCAATCGTCGACATCAACAATGACTGTCTGGAGCACGTGTTTGAGTATTTGGACTTTCCTGACCTAATTAACTTGGCTGAAGCGAACAAGCATCTTTCTGTAGCAGCCGAAACAGTGTTTGTTCGGAAACTCAAGGGGAGATTGATAGCGGTTGATATTAACGAATATATAGATTTTTCTGAGTATTTTTTTAATTATAAGTACCCTGATATAAGCATTTACGATGATGCAATTTGTATACACGTATTGCTGTTAGCTTTCAGAGCCATACGCGTTTTCGGTCAAAGTATCTCGAAAATACGTTTAAAAATTCAAAGAAATTTTTTTATTCGAGAAAAATTCGTTATTCACCTCAACGAATACTGTCACAAGACGCTGAACACATTCCAAATTTTTGGGGAACATCCACACATTTTGGGTGTCGTAAAACATCCATTCGAAAATGTCGAAAAATTCTCGTATCATCATGGCATACTAGGATCCGGATGTGAACATTTTAATCGACTTTTTCCACGTTTACGTCAACTAGCATTCATCGACAATGAAATTGTGGAATGGAATTACATTTCCAAGCCATTTCCGCACTTGGATTCCTTCACCTTTAATTACTATGTTGGCTACACAATGGATAATTTATTGAGATTAAATTTGTGCGAAGTTGATTTGAAAAGAATCACATCTTTGAATCCACACATTCAGAGTTGCTCATTAAAGGGATGTTTGAATCCGCGATTTTGGCAAGTTATCAACACACAACTCGAACATTTAAACACCGTTTCATTATGTTATTCGCCTCAGCATGTTGAACACTTCCAAGGTTCACATATTCGGTTCAATAATGTTGAAACATTGGATGTGCACTGCATATATGGTTCCAGTACAGTCAGTCCAATTGATGTGTTCTCTTTCAATCGTCTAAAGAATATGACAGTACAGTGCTATGAACACCAACTGGAAGAGTGGTTAGACTTCATTCTAGCACATCCAACAATAGAAGTACTTGTAATAGGTTTGATGACAATATTTGAAAAACATCTAACATGCTTCAAAATATTACACCAAAAACTGAATGAAGTGAGAGAAATTACGAAAATTATTACGGTACGGATTTGTGGATTTGGATTCTTCGAGGAGGGCTTTTGGAAATGTTATTTGCTAAAATTGAAGGAATATTTAGAAGCTCAAAAGTGGTTTGATAAGTTTTCTCTGCTTCTTGGTCAGGGAGATGAGCTGCCATTTTCAGAAATTGAAGATTTCTGGAAAAATACTCTGCAAATGAAAAACTATAAAATCAAAAATCACGTCTTAATTGATGAACCTTATGTTGAATTTGAAAAATGTGAATTGGAAATATAAATTTCGAGTAGCACCCGAAGTTTTCGAATTCAAATTACTATAAATGAGATTATAATTAGTCAAAATTATAAAATAAGTGAAATACATAAAAATTGTTTGTAAAAAAAACAACTCTGTTTGTTGAACAACATAGACAATTGAATGGTGATTCTAGTTCATAACGCTCGAGTCGAAATTGCAAGTATTTTCCATCCATATCCATTGTGTGATTCGCTTATGATCAGTAGAAAATTGTCTGCATTTCCTTTTATTTTCAAAATAAAAAATGCATGAAAAGTTGAAAGCTGAATGAAATAAGACTTGGAAAAACTTGAAAAAAATTGGCGCAAACAAAATAAAATGTAAAATGATGAAAAAAAAGTATTTCCAAATTGGTATAAATTAGAATTCAATCGAAAAATAAGGTTGCGTTCAGAACAACGTCAACTTCACCCAAATAGAACAAGGATCTGTCAAGTCTTGCACTTTGTACACAGCCGTTAATCCTTGTGCGTTAGTCGTTCGTTACACGTTCAGCGCATTCACTTTTCTTGGTGTTTTTTTATTTATTAAAGTTTTCATTCTGAGTCGCGTGTCGGTAAGATATTTTTGCATTTTAACGCTTCATCAAAACATTCAAAAATTAAATTGATTAAATTTTGTGACTTTTTGTAGTAATGGGCTGTATGCAGACGGTGTTTTCAAAAATAAACGAGCAAGAAACCGAAGCCGATGCACCAAAAAGACCAAAATTATCTATCGAGGATCAAAAAGGAATAAACCAGTTGCCAATTGCTGGTCCATCAAATGGACAGCCACCGCCGAAAATCTTCAAGTTGGACATCGATTGAATGGACGAAATATTCGAGTATTTGTCACTGCAAGACCTGGATGCATTTGCCCAAACATGCAAAGCGATGCACAAAGTGGCCGGTGAATATTTCAAACGAAACTATTCAAATGCTCATATAGTCATGGAAGAATATAGGCCTGAGTTGATTGGAATTGGTGCAACAAGTTATTCATCGTTAACGTTAAGTAAATTTGTTACAGAAATCCATTTCGAAGGATGGATTCCAGAGTCCTTTCTCTATTTTTCTTTGCATTTTCACGAATTCGAAGCGATTAACAGTCTTTGGCTTACAAAAACTCAATTAAATGAACAAACGATAGACACACTCAACGGAATTCTTCCCAAACTTGAAAAGATAATAATTTTGGAAATTGATTTAAAAGTTAATTTATATGACAGCCTATTGAAACGTTGCAATAATCTAAAGTGTCTTTTTTTGCTTCACACACCTTCTCAACCTGGGGCCCAACCCGCAATACTTGAACCACATTCATGGATGCGCCAGAAATATCCAAAACTCGAACACTTCGGACTCGCCTGGGTTCCTTCGATAGATGACTTGGAATTGTTTTTCCAAAATAATCCAAACATTCGAACTTTTTTAACTAATGCAGAATTTATCTGGAACCACCGACACGAATTCATGAATTGCAATGTTCATCTGGATTTTTTAAGATTTTTTCTTACCATTTTGAAGATTGTTGAATGAACTTCATGAACGAAAGTTCTACAGACGTCTGTCTATTCCTCTGGATTTTCCCGATGATCAACTTACGACTGATGACAGTTTTAGTGCTGGTTTTGCTTCCCTTTATGGCCTTGAGCAGTCAGTCATTGAAGATGAAACTGATTTGCTGCTCTTGCCTGATTTGCCCAATTTGAAAGGAGTGATGGTATTCAGTGAAATCAATTCATTGGAACCGATTCCAAAGAAATTCGCGAATCTTCAACGACTTTACATTAAAAATGCGAATGACGAAACTATTTTGACAATCATTCTTGGATTACCAAAATTAAAGACCCTGGTATTGTTTTATGATTAAGATACTGTGAAAAATAGTCTGAAATTGCGAACGCTTAACACGGAGCGCCAAAAAATGTTCGAGGCACAAAAAGTGACAATCCGTGTTCAAGAGGAGGTTTTCTTGAGAACGAAATGGAGCATCGCAAACGGAGATACCAACTTACAAATGGTTGAAATAAAACAGATTGCATCATATCAAAGGGATAAAATGCTTTTCAAAGACTATTTGTAATTTTGACCCATTCATTATGTACATTTGTTATGGAGCTCTAGGATGAGTTCTACATAGTTTAATTGAAAAATGGCAATATGCCAAATGCCGACACGAAAGATTTTTAAATTTTCTTTTGTTATATTTTTTCACATTTTGTAAACTAGTATAAACACAAGTTCTCTGGACACTTTTGAGATATGTCGTTATATAAAAACAAACAAAAAATAAGTTGAATATTAAAAATTATCCAGCGAATTGTGTTCTATTTTCAATTTTAAACGAAATTATTTGCATAAACTTTTGCCGAAAAATTCAAAATTTATTATGAAAATGTTATGTGACAAGTATTTAAGGGGATCACTTGACTGCTTCTTAATGAATAAGGGGAGAAATTTTCCTTCAAAAACTCCGCCAATTTGATAACTGGATAAAATAAGATTTGGGAAAACCAAAAAATTAGCATGCAGATTCAAACATTAGCACTGTAATCAATTATGGATCATTTAATGAAATCAAAATAGAAAGAGATAACAAATCATGATAATAGATAATAAAAAGCGTAAGTTTTTAAACAGAAAGCCAAATTATATTTATAATGTTCAAATCTATAATACAACTTGTGATGTTCATCTGTATGTTATTACAATGCAATTCAATCGATTTTATTATAAAAAACTGAAGAAGAAAAAAAATCACTGAAATTGAAACGACACATTGGTTTTATTAGGAAATATTGATGACAGCACATGGGAACATAGTTCAGAAATAAAAAGTTTAACGAAGGTATGTATAACAGTAATTCAAATTGACCGAATAACAGATGCCATGTACTAATACAAACACATCGAAGGTGCGTGGGTGTGATGAAGTGCAGTTGTCAAAAGTTAGCAAAGCATTGGAAAATGATCGTCACAGTTACGCCGATTTACCCAGAGCGACATAGACATCAAGGAGAGAGAGAGTGAATTTGCAAAGAATTTATTCAATTATAACATTATTCTACAGCTTTGGTGCTCTGTTCACATTGACTGTTTGTCAACGCTGTTTGATGGTGTCATTGAAGATGGATTTAATGTCTATCCGCAATTCATTCCAATCATTTACTACAGAATACTACATTCGATTCAAAAGGTCTTCGTCTAATACTCTGCCGGCTCGACCATCTCTTACTGGTCTTTCTTTGGTTGGGCACCCTTGATTCTGAAATACAAAAATTTCATACCAAAAATTAGTCATTCTATCTAAATTAGACCATTCAAACACAAATTACTTTGATACTGTGTCAGAGATCTTGGCTTTGATCAACACCAAATTCTTATCAATGACATCTCGGTTATTTTCGTAGAATTTTGGCAAAGTAAATAGTCCGATCCATGCAATTGCTGCTAAGCAATAACCATTGAACCAAGCGCCAATGTAAGTTGAAATCCACAATAAAATGGCAAATTTGGTGGTGTCAACATAATCCTCAACCAACACCAATCGTCGAACTTCCACAAATAATGCATTTAAATGATCAATACAAACGCCACATATCGGTTCAATTTTCTCCTTGGACAAAATGATATTCGCCTCTAAATAAGATCTGCATTAAAAGAAAAAAGAAATTTAATTGGATCTGTAATAACGAGCTTGCATCCAAAATTGTATTTTATTTGTGATTACTTGAATGGATGGCCATCGTTTGTCTTCTGAATGATCGACTGAACGGTTTTGTATACACGAAATGACACAGTTCCGAGCAGTGTGAGCAGCGCCATATAAGCAAACAAACTGATAATGCTATATGATGAGATCGCAATCAACACCACAATACCCGCACCGAAAGCAACGCTCGACTTTGTCACATCCTTCCAATGAATGATTAATTCCACTGAAAATTGATTGAGATTTATTTTGAGACCTTCTATTTTATACATTTGATCAAAATAAATTGCATGTCAATGATCGGGCAAAAAAAAGAGAAGCGTTTAACAGTGATTTATATTTAACCAAACAGGGAATGACGAATTAGAAGAAAAAACTCATTTATTGCAAATTATTTATACGGTTCTCCAACAAACAACCAGCTAAATGTTTATAATTAATGCATTCAGTATTTGGTACTTACATTCTTGCCTATCAAATTGTATCATTTTCAATGATGTCATTCTATTGTTCAAATATGCGATGTAATTTTGACGAGAGAAAAAAATTCACACTGTTCCTTACAGATTTGGTGGTGCTGCTGCAAATTTGCATGCGCCTAATTAAAAATAATGAACAAATTCGGTCGCAATCCAAAAATAAACTATTCTATTTGTGTCTCGACCAATATTTCCTTTTTGACAACAAACACAATGTAAATACACGATCAGACCACTAAAATGCGCCGTCAATGTACTTTACGCACTCGAGCTGGTACTTTAGATGTATAAATTCAATTAAATTAAATGGTATGTAATTCACGTAAATATTTAGAATGAATAAATAAAAAGAAATAAATTTACTCGAAAATAAATTGATTTCTCTTGTTTCGAAAAGAGTTTTTCTTTTATTTATTTTAAGTTGAATTTTTATTTACGTTGAAAACGTTTTATATATTTGTATTTAAAATTCCCTCGCAACGATAAGTATCGTACCGAAGTACACCAACTTCAAATTGAATAAAATACAAATGACAAGTCAACTGCTTAAGTTTCAATCATAAACAAAAGCATTTGCTCAACTGTCAAGTGTTCACCGAACAATTTCGTTAAATTTGAGTCAACATTTCATTAAAATTTGATTTTTTTTTTTTGGTAAGATCTTTGCTATTTTCACAGTTAATCGAAATGTTTGAGGATGAAATTGATCGATTTCATTTGTTCATTTATTTGTTTTGATTGATTTTTGTGCATTTTTTGCAGTAAAACGACCGAATAGACGGAATATTTGAGAATGAACGAGCAGGAGACCAAAGTCGTAGTACCAAAACTGTCAAAATTATCCCTCAAAGATGAAACAGACCGAACTCAATCGTCAATTGCTGGTGCATCGAATGAGCAACCATCGCCGAAAATCTTCAAGTTGGACATCGATTGCTTGGACGAATTATTCGAGTATTTGTCACTACAAGACCTGGACTCATTTGCCAAAACATGCAAAGCAATGCACAAAGTGGCCGGTGAATATTTCAAACGAAACTATTCCGGCGCTCGAATACATATAAAAGAAAATGCTGCACCAGAATTAATTGGAATCGGTGGAAGACGTTCCCATAAATCGTCAACGTTCAATCAATTTGTACCAAATATCAATTTCAAAGGATGTCCAGAATCTCTTAAACATTATACCTTCGAACCCAGTGATTTCGGAGCAATCAACCGTCTTATCCTCGAAGGTAAACTGTTAACCGAACAAATGATAGACACGTTGAACGTAATTTTTCCTAAACTGGAAACGATACAAATCATAGTGTCTGATATTTACGTTGACATTTATGACACGATATTGAAACGTTGCTCCAATCTAAAGTGTTTCGAATTGTATCGCTTACGTTATGAACCACGTCATGAATTTCCCGAGCCAGAATCATGGATGTGCCACAAATATCCACAGCTCGAATATCTTTGTCTCTTTCCAATTCCGACGATAGATAACTTGATGTTGATTTTCCAGAACAATCCAAACATTCATAGCTTTTTGATTACTGCCGAATACATTTGGGAACACCAACATGAACTCATCAACTTCAAAGTGCAACTGGACTTATTGAAGGTTATCATGTTGCGGAATATTTCATCTGCGCCATTTTTTAAACTGTTGAATCAACTTTATGAACAGAAATGCTACAAACGCTTGCATATTATTGTAACTGCTAGCGATAACCAAGTTACGGCTGACGATAGTTTTAGTGCTGGTTTTGCTTCTCTTTGTGGCCTTGAGCAGTTGGATTTTAAAAATGGAAACGATTTGCTGCTTCTTTCTGATTTGCCCAATTTGAAAGAGCTCATTGTATACGGTGAAAATAATTCATTTGAACCGAAATTGATTCCAAAGAAATTTCCAAATCTTCAACGACTCTACATACATATAGCGAACGATGAGCATATTTTATCGATCATACAAGGACTACCAAAGCTACAGATGCTCGAATTGAATTATGACCTAGATAAAAAAATGACAATTCTGAAATTGCCAGCATTGAATACGGAGCGCCAAAAAGTGGCCAACGCACAAAAAGTGACAATCTGTGTTCCGGATGAGGTTTTCTTGAGAATGAAATGGAGCTGCGGAAATGGAGACACCAACTTACAAATGATCGAAATGAAGCGACTGGCATCGTACAATGATCGATCGGAAATTTTTCATTAGATCTTCAATTGTGATTTCAACAGTTTATGCAATCAAATTAGAATCGGGTTTTACAACAGCTTTTTTTGTGATCTGTTAACCAAACATCATATGTTCAAATAAATTTCCATTAATTACTAATGAAATCAATGTGTAGTTTGTTTATTCAAGAATTTCTAACCTCTTTTCTCCTTCATTCTCGAATTTCGATCTTTTTTTTTTGCTTCTCAAAACGATTGATATAGAAAATCAGATATTATTACAGTCATCGAAGTTGGAAATGATTAATGAAGTCAAGAGGGAGCAGATAGCTCTGAAGGGGGAATTACAACTCGAAACATTTAGAACAGATCAAAATTTTCGTACACAAATTCTAATCGACCAATGAATCTCAAACCACAACGAAGATGATTAATAAAACCAAAAATGAATTGAACATTGAAGTTTCCTTGCTAATAGCGGTTTATTTACGAAATTGACTGAGAATCCAAATCGTTCTTTTCTTCGGCAGAATAAATGTGATTTGAGACCATGATAGGGAACGACTCCAAAAAAGAGAAAAGAAACAACTTTCGAGGATTGAATCATCGTGTTCTGGGACTGGTGATTGCAGTATATCCTTATCCAAATACATTGAATGAGCAACAAACAGTCAGACCTACCTATATTTATATTTATAAAACCTCAAGCTTCATGCCGTACCAACATTCTTATCTATCTGTTTATGTTCTATCCACATTGTTGATTAAGTTTTAAACAGTTTTACGGCTATTGGACGAGTGGATTGTTGAACATGAAAAGCAAATTAGAATAATTTTTTTCATCTTAATTTTTATTTGCTCTGGTTTGGACATTCTAACGTAAGTGTGGTTGAAAACTGTTTAGAATCAAAGGAAGACTTCAATTTTAGTATGAACCTAGGATCTGAGTAAGCTGTTTGATAGTTTGTTTACAAACACCATTTGGCCTACACAATGTGAGTGTATTTCATGTGCGAAAGCAGAAGTTGGCGAACGAACATGAAATCCGAATATTTGGTTAGCCGAATGACCTATGGCTACAACGATGAAGCACTAGGTTGCGTTCAGAACAACAGTAACAGCGTCAACTTCACTGCAGAACAACAACAATCTGTCAAGTCCATTGTTTACTAAATACAAAAGCGTGCACTTTGTACACAGTTTGTCACGTGGTTTGTTTGACGCTTAGAATTTCCCTTGCTTTGTTACTAACAATTCATTGAGAGCCGAGTTTTGGTAAGATATTTTGCGGTTTAACGCTTTATCCAAACATTTATTAGTTGAATTGATTGAATTTTGTGCATTTTTTACAGTGAAAACATCGAACAACGATATAATTGGGAATGAACGTCCAAGCCAATGTATCGAAAATGTCAAATTTATCCCTTGAAGTTGAAAAAGAAAAAAATCAATTGCCAATTGCTGGTCCATCTAATGAGCAGCCTCCGCCGAAGATCTTCAAGTTGGACATCGATTGCATGGACGAAATGTTCGAGTATTTGTCACTGGAAGATCTGGATGCATTTGCCCAAACATGCAAAGCGATGCACAAAGTGGCCGGTGAATATTTCAAACGAAACTATTCAAATGCTCGAATACTCTTAGAAGGGTTAAATGATAAACCTAAGTTGGTTGGAATTAGTGAAAAACATTCATATTCGTCGTCAACCTTCAATCAATTTGTTGATACAATCAAATTCAATAGGTGCATTCAAGATTTTGCCTTGCATCCCAATGAACTCGTGGCAATCAACCGCCTTTGGTTCGAATGTAGTAAATTGAACGAAGAAGTGATAAACAGTTTGAACGGAATTTTTCCAAAACTTGAATCGGTATTGTTTGACTGCACTAAAATCGAAGTGAACTTATATGATATGTTGAAACAGTGTGAGAATTTGAAGATTCTTGGTTTGCTTAATAGTGACCAGAAAACACACATATGGATGCGCCACAAATATCCAAAACTCGAACGCCTTGATCTCGCACCAATCCCTTCGATAGATGACTTGAAAACATTTTTCCGAAATAATCCTAACGTTCAAAGATTTTTTACTAATTTAAAAGACCTTTGGGAGCACCGAAATGAAATTATGAGTTTCGATGTGCAGCTGGATCTGTTGGAGATTTTCATTAGAGATTCCATCAAAGTAGATTTTAGTGCTCTATTGAACCAGCTTTATGAACGAAAATTCTACAAACGCTTGCATGTGTTTATATTTAAGATCGATGATAGTTTCAGTATTGAATTGCCCTTTCTTCGTGGCCTTGAGTTTTTGGTCATTGGCAAAGAAAATTATCTATCCTTTTTGCCCGATTTGCCCGATGTGAAAGGGCTGAGATTTAACAGTAGAAATAATTCATTGGATCCGAATCTAATTCCAAAGAAATTCGTGAGCCTTCAAAAACTATCTATTACAAATGCAAATGATGAAACGATCATGTCGATCATTCGAGGACTACCAAAACTAAAGACCCTGACATTGAAATACGATGAAGATGATGAGAAGAACAAACTGAAATTGCGAACGCTGAATACGGAGCGCGGTAAAGTGTTTGAGGCGCAAAAAGTTACAATCTTTGTTTCAGACGAGGTTTTCTTAAAAACGAAATGGAGCTGCGGAAATGGAGACATCAACTTAGAAATGGTTGAAATGAAACGAATCGCCTAATACATGGCTTTCATCGTGCGTTGGATATGTACAATGATATGAAGGAGAAAAGATATAAAATGCCTACATTTTCTATCAGAAAAAGATTTGATTTACATTAAGAATTGTCAAAGTTTTGTTAGAAACTTTTTTTGTCATTTAAATAAAGCCTCCCTAATCACCATATGAATTCAACGTGTAGTTCATTTTTATTCACGACTATTTCAGATCTTTCTCTATTTTTGTGGCTTTTATTATCAATTCGTTATTGGATTTAGGCGCCCTTTCAAAAAATCAGGCCTTTAATTATGCATATTTCTATAATAGGATAGATATTAAATATGCCAGCATAGCTAATCGACATACGGTGCACACAAAAATACACGCATTGCACTTTCTTTCGTGTACGGAAAATGCGCGCGTAAACATACACTCGCGCAGCGAATAACGTCGCCGCTGTTTTGATTACATATTTGAACGCACATCTTCCGTACGCGAACGACCGTGCACTGCAAGACACAAGCGTACAAATCCTGCAAAAGATATAAATATCCGGAGTGATGCAATAAAATTCACGAGTTTTCTTGCACCATGTAATACTAAGTAAATGTAAATAATATTTGGTAATTAATTTGAAAGTTCATTTTAAATAGTTGAATTTATTTTCTTTACAAGTAAACATGCTGCAAAGAAAGAGGAGAATCCCGTTCACTGGCTTAGAATGAATGGAAGAATTCAATCATATTCATTAGTACATAGTATGAACCAATGATCACGAATCAACTGTTTGAAGGTTTGTCTACAAACACCATTCGGATCGCACAGTTTGCGTGTGTATCATGTGAAAGCAGAATGAATGAAGTTATTTTGACGTCTTGAACACATGCATTCGGTGGAAATATTACAAGTTTTAATTACTTGAAAATTTACTGAATGTCATATCAAATTGGGCTAATAAAACGAATGTTCAAAGTTGTACTTATTTGAAAATCATCGAAGCATCAGGTTGCGTTCAGAGCAACGTCATATTCACCACAAAACAGCAACAATCTGTCAAGTTCATTGTTTACTAAATACAAAAGCATGCACTTTGCACTCACTTTGACCGCTCAACGTGTGTTGTGTGTATGTCCACGGGAGGGTCGAATGTTGTCATAAGTGTCGAATTGACTCATCATTCCTAGCTTCTCTTTTCTCCTCGATATCATTGTACATATCCAACGAACGATGAAAGCCATTTTGTGATCTAAGAGAAAGAAACTATGAGCATATGGCGAATGAAAGTGACTTGAAAGTCGTGAGTGAAAATAAACTAGAATTTTTGTTCATAAGTTGGTTCAATAGAGCACTAAAATCTGCCACGTCGCAAGAGAAATTAACAATTTGTAATAAGTCCAGTTGCACTTTGAAGTTTAGAAGTTCATTTCGGTGCTCCCACATTTCTTCTGAATCAGTAAAAAAGCTTTGAACGTTGGGATTATTTTGAAAAAATGTTTTCAAGTCATCGATCGAAGGAATCGGTGCGAGACCAACGGTCTCGAGTTTTGAATATTTTTGGCGCATCCATGTATCTGCTTCGGCTATTTCTTCGTGATAAAGCAAATAAAGAGTTTTCAGATTGGTGCAACTTTTTAACATTGCATCATATAAGTTCACTTTAAATGTAACGTAATCTAAAAACACCGTTTCAAGTTTGGAGAAAATTCCATTCAACGTTGTTCGTCCAATTCACTGTATTGGATCGTAAGATGTTTGATTGCCCCGAATTCGTTGGGATCCCAAATGAACCATTTGCGGAGATATCCGGTGTACAGCGGAGCTGTGCGGAGTTCGGCGGAGATACCGTACATACGCTATACGTGTGAGCGAAACAGCATTCTTTGCTGTGTTTACATTTCTATTGATCAATACACATATAAGTAGTCATGAGCACCAGAGAATCATTCCAGCATAGATATTCAATTTTCTGATGAGATCCCAGTAACTGAATGCAGTGACTGCAAACGTCACTGCTCAATGAAGCAGCGGACTTGTCGGCACACTCGTGGATTTAGATCATGTATGTCAGCGCATAAAATATCATTCAATTCAGACTGGATCAACAAATACTCTTAGATATATAATGCAAAACCCGATGACAACATAGAGTTTATGCAAATTCACTGGTATGCACGTCAATCTGAAATTTCTATATATATTTAGTGATATTCATTTGTTGTTTACGATGTATATTTTTGAATATACAAAGATATTTCAGTTTGACGTTCATACCAGTGAATTCCTAAGTTAACATTCGATGCGTATGGATATGAAAGATGAAAAAATGATTTTTTCCTTAGCAAATTAAAACCAAATTTTGAATATATTCATTTCTGATATATATTAAAAAACAACAGCATACATTATGTGTTATTAGCACACAATAAGTTTCTGTTTTATTCTGCTTTGTCGGTTTTTTTTCATCCTCCTATATTCTCC